TGTGATTTTGTCGGAAAAATTTTTATGGCTGTAAATCTATATCAAACATTTCAAAAATAGATTCGCAAAACCTGACAGGTATTCAAGCTTATGTTAAAACCCCGATCTGAAGAATTCTTCGCTGTTTAAAGCGTCTCGATTAAAGAACAACAACACGCAAAATGTTTTAGTAGCAATAATCCGCCAGTTCCATACACACAGCTTTTGACCGAACGCAGAGGTATATCGTACTGCCATTTAAAACTTTTCATTCAATAAAAATGATAAACATGTGTCTTTCATGATACTCAAATAAATTTAAACTTATGTGATCGCTTTCACCGCTTAACTTGATATTTGTTGTGCGGAGGAAGGAAAATGAGTTAGTGGGTTTTAGAATTTTATATCTGTTCAGAAAACTAAACAGGGAGGTTTAAATCAACCGAAGACAACAACAACAACAATTTATTTAAGATTAGAAATATAGCGAAGTACATTAGTTTCTCCCCGCAAATAGCTTATGAACTAATCGAGGCGGGGAGATCTAAGGACAGTTTATAAGTAAAGGATTTATCTAGAGATGGACTAACAATAAAAACGCTACACAAGTCCGTCCGGAATTCTTGGTTCGCGCTTGCGCAGTGACGTTCACATTACTTCCGGTCGTCGTCCTCCGTTCGTCGTCGCGGTTGGTTAAGCTCCCTACTACTATGAGAAGTGGAGGCCGGCCGCAGAGATTTTTACATATTTAAAAACTAGAATATTAAAACCAACAAAGCGCGTAGTTTCAGTTCCAGAATCGATGTACACTTGGAGACATTTAGACAAACGTTTTGTCTGTTTTACCCTACAGCAAAAATTACCGAAACTGTACCAAGATAAGTTGTCTATTGGTGTCTTCACATTCCCTCCCAAGAAAAATTGAATGCATCAAAGTAAAAACAAATAATGTCACTATGTATGCTTGAAGTATCAATCTACAATGTTGTATTTAGCTTGAGATAGAGAAATACAAATTTTACACTTTTTTGCGATGTTATTGTATGAAAATGAGGCCCCAGGCCTTAAACAAGCTAGTCTAGTTACTGCTAGTCTTCCTTAAGCTCTTCCTCGTCCCCTGTGCTGTCAGAGCTGTGCGAGTCGCTTTCGTTCTTTTCAGGTAGAGCATACTCTTCACGAGACGAGAAGCAGTACACATCATCATCGTCAGGCTGAGGTTTGCAATTATTCTGCTTCCTTCCGCGTTGCTGGCGCATCTCGTCGATTCAGAGGAAGAGATAGGAGGAGGGGGTCAAACTGAAAAGCAGATGGCGAAGTAAAAAAATTATGAAAATTGTGTTTGGAACGATTTGAGCGAAGATCAGTCATAATGGAGAGAACTTCGAGAGCCAGGATTAAACAATTGCCTGAAGCACCATGAACTAGAAAGCCTTATGAGAGTCTCCAAAAATGACAAGGTTAAGGTGATAGCCAAGCATTTTCTTCGCCAAACAAATCCTGAAGAAAGTGATCCGGTGCTACAAAGAAGATCGAGAGAAATCGACTCTGACGATGATGGTGCTGAAGACGGCCCCTCCCAACAGTAGAAGAGAAAGCGGCAGTAATGACAAAATTGACACTGGTGAGAAAGATGTATCGTGTGATGTCATTCTTGCTTTTCCGAAAACAAAGAAATTGAGAGGCCGGACACAACACGTTCGAAATTGATTTTGTTCTTTCTGGCTCTCCAACGAACCCAAAGTTTAGAGCGAGCTGGGCCTTTCATATTTTGCCGGTAAAATGTGTTAAGTGTACTTATTAAAATGTTAATAAAATTGTAATTTAATTTAATTTAATAATAAGTTCTTATATAGCGCATTAAAATTGAACTCTATGTAATATCTTGATATCGTCAAAAAGTTGGTTTTGTTAACTGTACAGCATGCATACATTGTAGCTGTATTAATTTCTTTTTAATATCTTCTTGTAAGAGGGGCCATCAAAAAAATCTTCCTTTTTGGGGGATGTAAATTCTTAATGACTTTTCAAGAATTTCCACTAACCCCCATACCTCGTAAAGGGAGCCATCCACATCCTCATTCGCAAATTTTCACATGTTCAAAAGAAAAAATGAGGACCAAAATCATATGGCATAGTCTAGCTCAGTTCCCTCTTGGTGCACATTCATACATTTAAGAAAAACAATTATACTTTCTGACTTTATTTAAGCATCTACGTATGAGATTGCGGTAAGCTGGAATCTTTTCAAAACATAAAATTTACAAAGACTACTCAATTTACTTAAAAAAAAAAAAAAACCTGCGTAAGCACCGTTAAGAGTTTTTGAGAGTTGGAAAATTTTCATTTATATTTTAATTTAGTTAGTTTCTCTATCCAAAAGTGTATCTGTGAGGCTAATTTCTAGTGAACAAAGATCCAGATAGGTTTTGACTGCCTCTCTATATTCGTCCAAACAGATTACCAGAATCTTCAACCTGCAAGAAGACGAGAATTTTAATTTAAAATCATGTTTTGTGTTGAGTCTCATCTGAAATAAAGGTACATCAAATACAATGAAATAAAAACTGCGCACCCCGCGATCGGTCACTCTTTTATTAACCAAAGTCGCGCATATAATTCATGTACTTGAATAGTTTTTGTCTGTTTTACACAGTCCATCCACTGGCCTTGGAATTTTTATATAATCCATCAGATATATTTGGAAGAAGTTGTTTTCGAGCAAAAAAATAAAAAACTGAGATGGAAACCATGAGGATTTTAAAATACCCAAGCTGGAAAGAGAATTCGAACAATCCCCCTCTTCGAGACTATTTATGATGTTTCTCCAATTTAACTTTCTTCTTATCATCTAAACAACCTTCACCTTTTTAATCTGATATGAAAATAAAAGATATATTTACGATTGGATTGTTGGATTTGTTGCGACAAAAATTGAATATTTTTGTCGCCAGAGAGTTTGAAAATCACGGTAATATGCATGTACGAGGCACGCTATTTTTGTAGCAAGAGTGCAATAGTGTCTACAAAGCATGAGCCGGAAGCAAAATCAGCAGTTACAGAAAAAAAGGATAGCCAAAGATAGGGTAAAATTTTTAGCGCGACGATTTATTCAAAACAGCTAAAGTAGCAACACGAAGGACATGACGCTAATTTCATTATGAATACATATTTCTCTGGAAATTAACCCAATCTCTTCGAGTGTAAGTAGATATTCAACAGACTAACCTTTTTTGTATGAAAGGAACGCTTTCTTCCTTTGCAATACATCGCGCCTGGTCGACATTTTCGATTGTACGGATTGTTTTGAGACTCTTGAGTTTCTTGATTCTCGTCATTGATTGTCTAAGATATGAAGAAAACAAAATATTAACCTGGTCTGTAATTAATAAGTCTTAAAAGTCAACTGATAATACAAGCATTAAGCATCACTGCACTGCAGTTGCATTTTAGAGTTCTTGATCATTTGGTCCCTTGAAAGATTCATGTTTTTCCTTTTTGTTCTTCCTAACAACAAAAAATCTTCCTTGTGTTTTCATTTTTCGATATTTTAGCACATTTTGATCTCAAGGTGTTAATTATATTCGGGTGAGATCTTTACTCGTGCTTTCCTTACTCTGATGAATGAAATTGCTCCGTTGTAAGCTAGAAAATGTACCCAAAATCAAACTGACAATGTTAGGCACAAAACGCAACGGGGAAGGCCAAAAGATACAAACCAAATGCTTTAGTTAAACTACCTTAAATGTTTCATCTTTAGCCTCCAAACGTCTCTGAGTCAACTGAGTGCCAAGCTGAAATGAGCACGATGTACTGTTAGTATATCTAAAACTACTAGTAGAGCTTAATTTAGTAAAGCCTCTGGATGGACGCGCACCTTTACGGCGGACACGCCTCAGAAAAGCGGCAATCAGTCACTGGCCACAGTGATGGCACGATGACTTTTCAAGTGTAGCTCAAGGCTAGAGAGAAATATGAACCACTTTTCCACCGCTAGGAAGTTCTAGTTAATTATTCTTTCCACACCCGTTCTCACAAGTAACACTAAGAAACAAAGCAAAACAAAACATAACAGAGGAATGAAAAATTACAATATTCATTTTAGGGGCCTCCGAAGAGTTTGCCAAGTTTGCTGTAGGGATACTTTTCATAATACGGTTCAGCAATCAAAGACTGATGAAAACGCCCGTTAATATATTTATCTCAAAACATATCCGACTTCTCAGTGATAATAAACTATATGCTTTTCTGTCTAGATAGTGTTTAATTCAAAGGTTTTTCCAAAGTAATAAAGGTAACCCTAATATGTACATGATAATGAACCTTGTAAGCTTGCATAATGCCACAAAATAACGTAAACTAAGAGCGATATACAACTGACTCTGCTTCTGTATCTGATCAAGCTTTCCTGGTTGACAAACTTGCTCAGAGTAAAATTTTGTGATCTTGGTAAACAATCTACTTGCTACTTAGTGAGGTGAAAGCGATGAACGGCAGGTCTTAAAATCGCGCAGATCAAACCATACACGGATTCTTAATAAAATGTTTACATAGAAGACCGCATCACAAAAGCGCTGTATGACCAAACATTCAGGCAAACGGAGTTAAATTTTGAGAATTGGGCTGCCAAAGATAATGGATGCGTCATCTTTGGCAACAAACGAAGCTACTGAATTAGCAAAGTGCAGCTGCAAAGTATTCTGGCCACCCATCTGGTGTTAGAAACGATACTTCTCGTGCATTGCTTATGATAGCTGATGTTTCAGTGGTTAATCATATGATAGCGTTGAATGCTTGATTGGTTTAGATGGAGAACGGGTTTTTTAAATGAACATTTTGACATTTTGATGCCCACTAATTTGCCGATTGCCTTAATCGATTGACTTTTGTATTGAATACAATCCTGTCGTGGTCCTCAGTGCTACTAAGGCAAATGAAAAACATTCATACTATTAAAAACAAAGATAAGAAATAAGATTCATATGGATCATGATTAAATCAGGGCTACTGGAACTTTCAGTGTTCTAATCCAGTAACCACACATTCTTGAATGGTACCTCTGCTTCATTGCCCCTTCAATTGCTGCATTAGGTTATGAATAGATTCACCACGACAAAATTGAAAATCACAAAGAAAACCTTATTTCAAAGGAATCGAAATATTTCGTCATGAAAGTAAGCTTCATCTATCATGTAAAGTTATTCCAGGGATTTACGTGTACTCGCCACGCGTTTGGATAACCTTTTTGTGGTCAGTTCTCATCTATTCCGATATGGCATGAAAAGAGAAATCAATACTAATCCTTATCAGTTTTTTGTAAAGTTTCTTGGGTCATTTTGCAGAGACATCACGGCATCGTTTAACAGCCATAGTGTGGCACCTTAATAGAGGTTTCACTTTCTATTTGCAAAGATTGTGACTTACCTTTACTTGCCTTTTCCCGTTCCGGTTACACATCACTGAACCCGGTCGACAACCTTTTCCAGGTGTAGCTTCCACAAAACCAAGTGATACAAACTGAACCAACAGTAATACCGAGAGAATAATACCTATTCTGTGATGCATTTCCTGAATTTGTAAGTTCTCGGCCGGACAAAGCTTGAGAGGAAATTTAAGGGTTACGTTAACAGAGCAGATAAGAAAGCTAGGCGTTCTCAAAGGTAATGTGAAACGTATGTACTCTGATCTGGTTTAAATAACGACACCACTAGTAAGTGGGGACTTTAAATTCCCTTTGCGGCATGAAAAGACACATGAGTGCGGTGCGAGGAGTTTGATAAGATATTTATCTAAAAAATAATGAAAGGTGGTTGCTTGATCAGCAAATCGCACTTTTAATCAAGACTGAAAAACCAATCAGCCGTATACCGTTGGATCATATAAAAAACTCGAATGTAATAAGATGATATACTTCGGCGACAAAAATGAGATGGAACCTATTATTTCAACAAGATATGAAAATGTTAGCATAGTAAAATTTGTTAGACTTACAAAAAACGAGATGATTTTGATGTCTCATTCTAAGCACTTGAAAACTCCCATCCTTACCCTAATGATATATGTTTGAACTTTCAATAGTTTTTCATTACGTTACTCTAGTTTTTAATTTAGATTTCTGAAGAACTAAATCGCACCACTTATTGGAGTACATAAGATCTATGCCTTGTTTGAGTATGCCTTACTCCTTTAAGAACTCCAAAGTCTCGACATGTTCGATGGATGTACAGATATGAAAGCGCTAAACTCGTTTTAATTAATCAGAAGGGGTAACGAATTTAGAGGCTATTTTTCCACTATCCAAACAAGAAATAATGCGCCCGTTTTTCAAAGAGACCGACTACAAATATGGGATCTTAATTTCCGAGGACCCTTCCATTGTAGTTACACGGTCGACATAAGTAAGTTTGATATGGCCCGAAAAGGGAACCTATTTGTCGGCGACTGACTTTACTCTAAAAGGGTCCTACGTTGTCCTGATCGATCTGAGGATTATCAAAAAAATTCAGTTTTTCCAGTCAGTTAAGGTGGTAACTTAGGTTGTTTTCATACAATTACTTTAAACGCTTCGGTCTATGGCTCTTAGATAATACATTACATTAGTTTTTTTTAACGCACCAGAAATGTTATGTTAAACATTTCAACTTCATATTATTTAACTATATGATTTAAAAGACATGCGAATAGGCCAAACCACCAGATCTGATCCGGTGCAGTTCTGCTTTGGATTGAAAACCAATCAGCGAAGAAGAGGTCAGAGATGTTATCACCGACAGCCCTGATCTTTTTCTTACCTCGAATATTACTTTATTTTTTTGTGAGGAAATATTTTCTTCTTTTAAGTACATGATTAATTAGGTTCACGTCTTTCAAAAATTATTCGCATACACCATCAATACTCAATGCCATGCTCAAATTGTTGACTGTTGATTCTTTCTGAATGATTCTTATTGTCATTTCTAAACGAATTGATGGCGTGTTTTTAGGTTAACGCCGTACATTTCTTTTTAGAGCTTCCTCTTCTTGTTTGTACTGCAATATTGGCTCCACAGCTCGACTTCAATGCTTTAGTAAGAAATAGCTATGTAAACAGGGCAGCGCAACCTTTGAATAAGTAATTACTGACCATTGCTACGTATTTTGTGGCATTGTAGTTACTGCATATGGCAGTAACGGCTCCGTAAGTACTTCTTAAAAGAGAGATAACCGTGTTAATCTCACAAGTATTTTGATTTTATCATTTCAACAATTAATTTTAGATAGAAGCGTCAGCAACGGTTCACGTGCCATGTCAAGGAAAGAAATTTATAATCTCAAACTATTTTAAATTACGATTGTAAGCAAAAATAGGCAAAATTAAAGTTTAGCCTTACTGTTAACGTAACCCTTAAATTTCTTTGCTACTATCCTATATTGTTAATTTATCTTCGATGTTGTTTTTTTCAACAACTGAAGCGAAATATTTTGATGAGTGATTTTTTATCATTGATATGCGCAATGCACGTACATGTAACGACGCATTTAAAACGATCTACTAGGAGTGTAATAAAATTGCTCAGCGGTTGCGTACATTTTCCATGAGATTAAGCCCACCAGTCAGTGGTTAACGTCTCGCAAAATTTGGCTCAAACACATTTGCTACTGAAGTCTAAAACGTTAACACACCAAGGCAGTATTAAAGTTCAACGTCCAAAAGCTTAGTATCCGAGTTATAAGAAGCAACTCAGAGAACGAGCATAAACACAGAATTGAATATATCTGAAAGCCTCTGTTGGAAACAAAATTTTTTTGAACTATTGATTTGGCTGACTAATTCCTGGCAAGGTTTGATCAGTCATTTTCCCTTATTTTGATTTTCTTTCCAATATTAACTTTGCCATGGTGCGTAAGATAATATTGTTAATATTTTTGTTGACAGGTACGAAATAGAATGAGTTGCAGGTTAAGGCTAAGAGACAGGTCGATTCTTACAAGAGACATTTGAGCTTGACATTTTGCTTTGGCATCATACGAAAAAAAATTACATATATTTAATTTTGATAGTAGTCACTCACCCTCGTAACGAATTAAAAAAGGATTCTCAAGAGTGTTATAATCATTTTACTTTAGTTCAAGTCATTTTACATTTCTCTTCATTCGGTCCTTGTGAACTCCCAGACTGACAGGTACACATTAAGTACAGGAAATTAACTAAAAAAAGTCATTTTAATTTTTAATGGGAGAGAAGTTTGTAAATTGCTTTCCTCTTATCTGTCATTTATGCCTAAAAGGCGAAACAATAGGTTTTTTTTTTATTAACAACGCATGTTATCTTTTAACGGAAATAACCTAAAAAGCGAGTGGCTCTTGAGGAGACCAACTCCGTAATAAAACTTTAGACGCAACTTAACAGGAGCTGGAATGAAAGTGGAAAGATGTGCCATAAAGTCGCAATCTACATTTATGGATTATGATCTCCATTAGATCTACTGGAAAATATATTAGGATTCACAAAGTTTATCTAGTTAAAATTTTTATTTTCTTTAATTTGTCAGGTTCTCGTTTGAAAGAAATGAAGCTTTAGTAAATATTATTTTACGGAAATAGGCCTCTAATGATCAAGACGGAGTCTTTCTTAATTATTTTTTTCCTATCTTAGTCCGGTTTCGGTATTATCTGCGACGATGAAAGAGGTCATCATTACCAAAGAAAACAAATCATAACTAAGCGTGGTTGAAGTCCTTGCATATTTTCAAGGAGCGTAGAATAAGTTGTTGAGAGTTGAATATCCATATGATCATTCCTCTTCGTTTGTGGGAATTCACCTTTGTACTACTTGGTTCGAAAATGTCGAAAAACCTGAAAATATTTAAATAATTTTTAATCTCTTATTTTAATTAAATTGATAAGTTTTACTTGTGGATATTAAATTGATCAACATCAAAGCAATGTGCAATTTCTAGCTGCCATCCTCGGAAGTACATGCAGCACGAATCCGTTGTCTGAAAATTGTTTTTACCTTTGTGAATGAAAGGATTGTACTTTTGATTTATCGTCACCATTTACCATCCATCATGATATTAGGCACTTAAAATGGGATGCCAACAGAAAACAAAGGCTTTAATAAAGATGACAAAAAGGTGTTCCTGAAATAAAGGAATTTCAATGCTTTAGATTACGTTGAGATGTAGAAGAGCAATTCTAAAGTCATCGGAGTGCATGCATTGTGCCTTCCAATCAAATTTTGCGTTCAAAAAGAAGGGCCTCTCTCAGCAATAATTACCGGCTTAAAAGTAACCGTAACTTTTCGAGGGCGGAAAAACGACGTTCTTAAACTTTAATGTTCATATTACTGAGGCATCGAACTCTCGCACGTTGTGATGAATACCTTTTAATTGCTCAGACTGTATTTTACAATGGCGTTGCTTTCTTCAGTCAGGAGAACAGGAATTTGTTTGATTATCCTGCCATACGTTAATTGCACGGCTAAATTACTTCCCGTTTCATCCATCTTGTAGAAAACGACCAATTGCTTCACACATGAGGGTACTATTCGATTAATGCTTCGTTCATTAAACGGGGAAACGGAAATTCGGTCCTGTTCTAAAGAATGCCTCAAAGGTGATTCCATCAACAATGATCTGTCCGCATTTGGAATATTTTAGAGAAAAAATTGATTTGTTTCTATATTTAGAGAAGTAAGATCTCGCCGTTTCCCTGCTGTATAAACCCGGGTAGTGCGAAAAAAATTACAGTACGTACAGTGTGATCGGTACGTACAGTGTGATCAAGATGCATTGGGTTGGGTTTGTTTTCATGTTTCTGTTTGTATGCCAACCAGTTCAAGGATTAAAAAGATGTAGGCCTGGGGCAATGCTTTGCCCAGTCCCTGGTCGTTCTTTTATTCCAAAACAGGTAATTATATAAGAAGGTAGATGTGTTCCGTACTACGCCTTGATATCCAATTGTATGTAAACCGGAGACTATCGTTGAGGAATAGGTAAAAGTAAAAGTAATGGTTTACTGGGACTCAAACTCAAGTTCACGAAAGTTTACATGATTTTCCTATTTTTTTCTACTATCTTTTTTAGTTTCGAGAAAAAATGAACGATAAGTATGAAATATTTGTTTGTGTTACACCATTTTGACAGTGGAAAACGTTCAGTGACAAAAGCTGATACGGTCCCATTTTTTTTTTTTCATCGATCCTTATGAAACCGCGCGAAACTCTGCTAAAACTTGATCTAAGCAGTCCGCACAATTACGGCAAGAATAATGATTTAATGTTGTCTTCCTGTATACCAAAATTGTCGGATAAAAAATAAATTATTTAACTTAAATGGAACTATAGTCAGTTCATATTTCATACTTTTCCCCCTCGACTTACCAAAACAAGTGCAATAAAAATTTACGTAAATATTTGACATTCAATATCACCTCCATCGGCTTGGTAAATACAAATTATAGTGAAGTTGCACTTGCTGGAAAATGGAATGTCTTGAATTTTTTTGGATCTCTTTAAAAGTTAGCCGAAAAGGTTGATGTGATGAAATCTTTGTACTAAAAGTGTATGTTTCGTTGTACAGGAAATTGACAAAGAGCCGTCTCGTGTTGCAACAAGAAAGGATGAAGTAAGGTTGGATCAGGTTCACTACAATCATCAAACGAATGCCGTATCGCTCTTGCGGAAGATGCGCATCATTAAAAAGATATAG